TCTCCCGGACTAGAAATTTGTGGCGTTGCGAGTGAAAATCTTAATTTCAGTTTATTTACGCGGTGATGAGAACGGCGCTGATCTATTGTTAGGGTTTTGCAATGTGCATTGCTTTTGTGCACGGAGTGACTTGAAAAAGAAAAGCGAAGAAAAGTGATATTTGGTTCTTGTGTGGTTGGAATTGCTGGAGGAGGAATTGTTTAGGGATGACTAGGTAGAGAAAAATATACGTGGAAGCATCGGGAATGCGCTCCCGGGTGTAGTAATTTGGTGAGTACGTTCCAGTTGAAGATTGTTGAAAAGTGTATTTGTGATGATGCAAATTATGGTTTAGATGACGCATGGCTTCAAACGTTTTGTTTATCCAAATAAAACATATTACGTACTAAATACGCACATGACATCGTCTGCTGACCATTGCCGCGGGTATATCGTGGGAGTCCCAGGTACCCGGTTCAAGCTTTAGTTGGCGGCGGTGGCTCTTCTTGACCTTCTTTCCCCTGAGTACTTAGTGTGAATAAGGGCGTCTATGTGATGTTTTGCTGTACCTGTTGTGGACATCTAGTTCATCCTGTTCCCTTAACTTGTTGAGGACACTCTGTCTTGCCTCAAAAGTTACCCTTTTTGAAGTACTACTCTTCACAACATAAAGGGCACCATTACGGAGCATGAGATTCGATCAAATTATTCGCAGTTCTACTTGTCCAACGCCCCCGGCTGGGTGAGGGATAGAGGATGACACACACACACACAAAAATTTGGTATATATGTAAAAGGATGATTGGGTGGGAGATAGATTTTCGATTTCTTTACAACACAAATCTAGTACTATGTGTCATTTCCTCAAACCCCCCCCCCCCCCCCTTTAGCCGACCTCTCCAATCCCTTCCCATGGCGTTCAAGTGGTCCGCATATACTATTCAGCCATTACCCTTCCTTTACCCTCGGCTTTCGATTGACTTGCGCTCCCATTGCCCCACCAAACGCTGCAAAATGAAAATGAAATACCCCACAAGATTGGTATTTTTGGAATCGGGGAGACGTGAAGGGACCGGAAATCGATGTTTGACGCCATTTTGAAATCCAAGATGGCGGTATCCGGTTCATGAAAAACTGGAAAATAATGTCAAATAACCCACAATATGGGTATTTCTGGAATCAGGATTACGTGTACGAACCGGAAATCCATGTCTGATGCAATTTTGAAATCCAATATGGCAGTATTCGGTACATGAAAAACTGGACATACCATCATTACCCCACAATATGGGTATTTTTGGTTTTCCGTACCCGGATGCCGCCAACTTGGCTTTAAAAATGGGTTCAGACAAAGATTTCCAGTTCCTACATGTCACCCTGATTCCACAAATACCCATATTGTGGGGTATTGACAGTATTTTCCAGTTTTTCATGGACCGAATACCGCCATCTCGGATTTTAAAATGGCGTCAGGCATGGATTTCCGGTTCATACATGTCACTCCGATTCCAAAAATACCCATATTGTGGGGTATTGACAGTATTTTTCAGTTTTCATCAACCGGATACCGCCATCTTGGATTTCAAAATGGCGTCAAACATCAATTTCCGGTCCCTACACGTCACTCAAATTCCAAAAATACCCATATTGTGGGGTATTTGACATTATTTCCCAGGTTTCCTGAAACCGGATGCCGCCATCTTGGATTTCAAAATGGAGTCAGAAAAAGATTTCCAGTTCCTACACGTCACTTTGTTTCCAAAGATACCCATATTGTGGGGTATTTCACAGTTTTCCCCAAATTCCCAAATTAGCAAAAAAAAACTCTTTATTTGGAATTTACTTCGTAAAAAATAAAACTCGTTATTTGGGATTTACTTCGTAAAAATAACCTCGTTATTTGGGATTTACTTCGTAAAAAGAGGGACGTAAATTGAATACTGCGTAAAAAAAAGACTTCGTAAACGGAGGTTTCAGTGTAATAGGAACTCATATTTGCATGAAATCTACCAGTAACTCACAAAGCTCCCCAGACACGTCCTTAAAGCTCCCGAAATCTGTCCCGAAAATTGAAAAGATCCAGTTCAGTAAATTGTCAGTCAAATGATGATTTACCCTATTGTGACAAGGCTGCGGATTGCACTTACAAAACTCGTGGACTTGCTCCCCATTAGGGTACTTAACTCAGTTTTTTTTGCGCATTCATAGTTGATAATCAAGAGCATCCTTAATGATTTCTGAATTTTTTAACCCACCGCTTCACAAAGGGTCGAAAAAATGTGAGGCATGGCCATTTGCAACGAAGCTGTTGATTGTAGCATTTTGATGTCTTCTAAAATGTTTCTTCATTTTTTGAGTACTTTATTTTAACGGTGAAAACGTTTGCTTTTTCATGTCTTGTTAAAATCGATAAACATCTATGAAAACATTGTATATGAAGTAAGTTTAAGAAACTTTGTGCAAGACGACAGTTTCCTATCTCTTAAGTGCACGAAGTTATATGGTAAAAAAGGAATACAAACCATAGCACCCCCTTAAAAACCCTTTTTATGTCATAACTTTCTTGTTTTAATTTTACAATTTTTTCAATGTTGCACAAAGTTGGAAGTGTTCTTTAAATTCAAATTATTACTAAGGGGAACAAATTGCTATTTCCTTTTTATAAGGGTTTACATCCGTTTTTTGTATTTTTAAGGGGGTGTATCTTGCAGATTAGCAGGTATTAGCAGCTAATATCAACGATTTTTGTTCAACAACTTATACTCTACTGTAACATATACATCTCATAAGTGTATCTACGGGGATGCCTAATATATTTTCTAATAAAGTACCTCAAAGTTTGGTTACGTTTTGCAGTTTTCATGATCATTTTTCCAAGTATTCACGATAGGGTGCGTTCCTCACTGTTCTTTCAATGCTTACAACAACTGGGCAAAATTAGAACGAATTGGTTTATAATCTCGATTTGCGGGAGAATTTTAAATTTTGTATGGAAAAATGTATGGGAAGAGAATGAGCCTAATTTGCATACCAAAAATCTAAATATTGCTCAAATGTCTCCAAAACTCCAACTAAGATTTGAAAAATTGTCATGAAAACTGCAAAACGTATCAAAACATTGAGGTACTTTATTGAATAACTCATTAAGTATCCCATTGGATCCCCCTATGTATTGTATATGTAACAGTAGGGTATAAGTTGTTGAACGAAATTACGTTAAATTTAACTGCTAATACCTGCTAACCTGCAAGATACACCCCCTTAAGGTTAAATTTACTTTGATGCTTTTTGGAAAATTTCAAAAGCAGTTTTTTCTGACGCATTATTTCAGATTGCAAAAAGATCGCACTATTTGATTCCTTTTGATATTTTACACAAAATGACGCGAGCTTTTTGCAATCTAAAATAAAGCGTTGAAAAAAACTGCTTTTGAATTTTTAAAAAAATGCATCAAAGTAAATTGAACCTTAAATATAGTGATAGTCAAAAAAATTTAAATACCGATGTAAATCCTTTTCAGGAATAGATACCAATTTGTTTTATTTAGCAAAAAATGTGCATTTTTAGAGTACTTGCAACTTTGTAGAACAATGAAAAAATAGGAATATTCAAACAAAAAAGTTATTGTAAAACACGGTTTTTATGGGGTACTACCGTTTGTATTCCATTTTTACCCAATAACTTCATCCACTTGGGAGATAGAAAATTGTCGTTTTAGATAAAGTTCCTTAAAATAACTTCAGTGACAATATTTTCATAAATAATTATGGATTTTAACACGGCATTAAAAAAAAAAAATTTTTACTCAAGTGTATACTCCTCTTAAGAAAAAAAGTTCATCACTCAAATCAAAAACTAAAGAAATGAAGAAACATTCTAGAATACATCAAAATGCTACACACAATAGTTTCGTTGTAAATGGCCATGTCCCACTTTTTTTTTTGATTTCGTCTCACTGTGTGCCTTCCTGATCACCTCTTATAGTTAAAAGTAATTTCAATATTGGCCTACGAACCCTGCAATGCAAATCTTGTATTTCAACTGTTTCCCTTCGATACATATGTCATTCCATGAGTGATTTAAATGAAAGTGATTAAATGGAATAGATATTTGAGATATATTCCACGACCATGTATGACTTTTTATTGTTCCAGACTCACATGCAGGTAAGCTTGGCTGCTTTGATATTGGTGTCGTTGTTAATCAATACGATTATAAGCAAACATTTGCAAGAACTGCCAAGAAAGGCCAGTTACGCTTGACAGGACAATTGACGTCATGGATGACAGAACAGTTGTCAGGACAGACAAGGAGAGTTATAAGAGAACAGATAGCAAATATATCAAAAGGACATTACCGAAGACAGATTAAATCCTATTACTAATTTTCTTTCGCATATGAAAAGTGTTTGCTAATGCTAAAATACATTGAATTCTTAATCATAGCACAACACATTAAAAAACAGTTTGATGACACAGTGAACTTCAACATGTGAAGCGGGTTATAATTTGCAGAGCTTAAAATTATTGACTGCCTACACAGCAAAAAAATAATTTTGATATCACGTCAAAGTGGATGCACTACAATAATGTCGAAAATATGGTGTAATATTACTTGCTAAAAATGACAAAATTATCATTAATACAATGCATGAACTGACATTACGCTGCTTTTACTGCATTTGTTTATTTATGTGGTCATAAAAATTACATGAAATTTTCGACATGATTGTAGTGCATCCACTTTGATGTGATATCAAAATTATTTTTTTGCTGTGTAGGCTGAGTGTGAAAGCGGTGAAAGCACTGCACTATTCAATCAATTGCTCTGTGCAGACCGTTTGTACCAAACGGTAAAGGACGAGGCAATGAAAGAGCCAACAAAAACATTCAGTCACTCATGAGCAGGCGACGCACACCGCTTGCCATCGCTCACACAGCATGAAATTGAGTCATTTTTCCATAGAAAATGCAAGCTCAATCATTCAAAACAAATATTGGGTACAATCACGGCAGAATAAACGTGTTGACTGAGCTACTGACTGAGTGCTCGGCTGTCAGTGACTCGTTTACCTCTGAATCATTCAGACTCTCACGAGGTAGTGAATGGTGAGGCAGATGGCAGTTCATATTCATATCAAAATTACTCAATGAACCTGACTGTTTTGCGCACTGATAATTTGTAAGTTTATACACTTAAGTTTGTTAAAATTAATCTAATCACTAAATAAAACTTACAGCTAAAAGCATTCTCACACAAAACTTGAATTTTATAACGGAAGATCTTAAAATTAACCGAGGTTTTCATTGTCGTCCGCAACAGCCAGTTTTAAAAGTTAATCCGAGTTATAGCTTACCACTATCAGACTGCTTGATTGACTGTTTGATTTGTGGTATTTATCCAATTGCGAACCGACACTCGGCTTCCAGTATTTAAGCCAGTAATCATCTTCAGACGTCTATGATATCTAAGAAAGTGAAGATCAGCTACAGGTAAGATGCACCTCGTCTGTTCGTTGCTTGTTTATGCGGCAGCACTTTCATTTTGTTTGGTAAGATACACTAACTTATAACTTCGGGCCTCGGGCCTAGTCAGTAAAGACACTATGTTGAGAGCCAGCTAAACGTTAAAACTATTGCTTTAAATTTATTTGCAGTGTCAACAAATAACTGAAGCACATTTCCAAGAATGTGCCGAAAAATTGATAAAAGACAACAAAGAGCTTAAGTGCGCGATAAGCAAACTGCGAGTTAATGGCTAAGGAATTCATGAACTGTGCATTCAAAGCGTCCGGCTGGACTGACGAGGATGGTAAAAACTTCAATGTTTCCAAACTAACTGCCGACTTAAGCAGCAGAGGGTTCAACGATAATGGGGTTGTGAACAAAGTGATCTCAGAGTGCACATCTAAAATCGGAGCCGAGACCAGTGCAGTTGACTATCTGAATTGTTTAATTGATGATAAAAATACCAGAAGAAGTTTCATAACAACACTCCGGCAGAGGGAGTTAATTTTCTATCATCAAGATCATTGCAAAATAAAATGAAACCCTTTTCCAATGGAAGACATAAAAAGCTACCTATCCAGTTGATAAAATATATGTTCAACTGAAGTGGGTTTGTTTTGATTTATCATTTAACCTGATAGTTTTTCTTATAGTTTTGACCCTTGGTGATCTGCAAAACATATGAAAGGGTGAGATTTCACTGAAATTTGAAACTAAAAACATTTATTGGATAATAGCTATGAAAAATGAACTTTTATCAAAAATCTCGTCGGAGCGACCTCTAAACAACATTTCCCAGAGTTGCTGCCATACAAAAGTTTGTTTGTAACACCCTTAGCTATCATTTGGAAGGTGAGCCCCCAGATTTCCAGACATAGTGCAATTTCGGGACACCCTACTTGGTTGCCATCATAATGAAGTTATGAAATTGGGTTGTAAGCGCCACTTAAAGTTTCGAAGTGGTTACGAGAATAAGGATGTCACAGCGATTCACCTAATCTAAACGTACATGGATCAGTTCCAGTCTGCTCCGTTTTATTATTTTTTGTCGACATTATTTTTCATAAGGCAAATCAATGATATTCATACTGATTTCTTGTGGCTAATATTCATAAGTAGTACTTATGTAAATCTTATGTTCATTTACCTCAGTGATATCTACACGTCGTACAATGCTACTCTGAGAAGCAAAAGAGAAAGAGAAAGAGACTTAAAACAGGTGACATCTCTCTACACTGCGGCAAATAAAATGAGCTATATCCCCTATATGAATTTCATAAGCGTAACTTATGAGTGATTTTCGTCTAACATGTGGTAGCCCAAGTAATATTGCAAGTTTTATCACGGTTTTAGAGCATGCTACAAGCCTAAATCATAGTCTTCAGAACCCTCATAAAACCCCAATTGCTACTTGGGAGCTCTTATACACCTTAAACTGTTTCATTATACCAAGCGTAGAAAGTCGAGTGGTCAGCACACGGGTCTCGTGATCTCATCGTCCATGGTTCAGTTCCAGTCAGCTCCGTATTATGATTTGTTTGTTAACATTATATTTCATATGTCATGAAATTCTTACGGTCTTTTACTTCAGTGTAGCAGACGAGCCAGAGATGAACCACCGTCTGGCTGAAAATCTCCTTAATAAAGACAACCAACCAACTTTCAGTGTAGCACAAGAAGAATGAAATGTGCTGCACAATATGAAAATGCTCTTTCATGTCTTTTTAAAAATGAAAATGTTGTCTCCCAATAGCATATGCTTTACTCGCAGAAAATTGGGTAGCATCCGATCCCTGGTTACCAGACACCTCTTACAAGCATTACCTAAGGGTAATTTTCGTAGAAACAAAACTTGTATCCAAATCAGGGCTTGAAGAGGGAACGCATTCTGCCTGTGACTGCATGAACTTGTACATTTTCCGCATTCATCATTCGCAGTGATCGGCATTCACTGAACCTGATGAAAAAACAGTCGCACTGAATGGGATCTAAAAACAGTCAGATTTCCTTTCTACGCTGCATTGTGCTTTGTGCAGTTGCTTTGCAGATGCCGATTTTTAAATTCATTCCTTCTGCTTTGGTCAAGTTGATCGCCAACTGCGGGAGCTGTAAATTCAGACGGATTACCTATCGGCTACCGCAAGGAAGCATTTCGCACACACATTATTTTCCTTTCCAGTGTGAAATAGCAGCGCTTGGAATATATACGTATGATACGATTCATCTCGATGATATCTTTTTTTATATATCAGCAGTCATATTAAGCGGGTTAAGCGTTGGAAAACAGCGATCCGCGACGCGGATTTCGCGTAAATGAAGGACTCCCGCACGATTAGGCAAACAATTAAACTTGTCAAATACCACACAATATGAGTATTTTTGGAACCGGTGTGACATGTAGATGCAGGAAATGGAAGTTTGACGCCATTTTGGAATCCAAGATGGCGACCTATGTTTGCTATAAAACTGTGAACACTCGTCAAACATTATGCAATATGGGTATTTCCGGAACTGGTGCGGAATGTAGATGCCAGAAATGTATGTTCGACGCCATTTTGGAATTCAAGATGGTGACTTCCGATATTCTAGAATACTATGAATACTGGATAAAAACCTTACAATATGGATATTTCCGGAACCGGTGTGGAATGTAGATGCCATAAATGGATGTTCGATGCCATTTTGAAATCCAAGATGGTGACCTCCGATATGCTAGAACACTATGAATACTTACTCGTCAAATACCATACAATATGGATATTTTTGGAACCGGTGCAGAATGTAGATGCCAGAAATGGATCTTCGACGCCATTTTGGAATACAATATAACGACTTCCGATGTACTAGAACACTATGAATCTGCAAATACCATACAACATGGATATTTCCGGAAACAGCGTAACTTGTAGAAGTCGGAAATGGATGTTTGATACCATTTTAGAACTCAAGAAATCTATTAAAATATTAATATTTACGGAGCTAACGTGACTAAACTCGTCAAATGTCATACGATGATGATATATAAGAACTCGGCATGACATTAATAAGTCAAAAAATATACAAACATCTACTCTTCTTCTTCTTCGCATTTCAAGCTTATTGCTTATCGCATATTAGCTTATTTCGTGCTCTCAACTTAGTGTTCTAGATGCACTTCCACAGTTATTAATTGAGCGCTTCCGATGCCTGTACCATTTTTGCAGTAGTATAATTGTGTGGCAAGTCCAATCATACTCTATGCCCAAGAAAGTCGAGAAATTTTCCAACCCGAATATTTCCTAGACCAGACCGGGAATCGAACCCAGCCACCTCCAGCATGATCTTGCTTTGTAGCTGCTCCTTATCGACTGAGCTAAGGGAGGTCCCAAACATCTACTCTACTACTTGTTGAACTCAAATAATAGAAGTAATGGAAGGGTGATGATTTAATGAACTTCAAGGCAACGTGCAATCATTTTTAACAAGCATAGAAATAAAAAACCTAAGTAGAGTAGACTTAGGTTTTTATGTCTCTGCTTGTTAAAAAATGATTGCACGTTGCCTTGAAGTTCATTAAATCATCACCATTCCATTACTTCTATTATTTGATTTGGTTGGTTTATTTTGATAGTGAGCAAATCTTCTAGGGTGTTTTCACCCAAGGATGTGCGCTGATCTAAAATCGTTAACGCCAGAGCACTGAAAGCACGTTCCACTGATACTTGCATCGATGGAACGGCCTAAATTACAGCAGCTGCTTCAAAGAGATCCTTTTGCATGATTTTCTTCTGTACCCAGTACTCCCAAACGTTGACATGGTGTGGTTGTCGCAATCCAACATCCAACACACTTAACTGTTCTGGAAGCATTTTGTTTGGGATACATTTCGGGTCTCCGCTTGAACCTGCTAGACAGCCTCCAAACATGTCCGCTAAAAAACTGTCCAGTTCATCCTGTTGAACAGCTGGCTCAGTAAACGTGGCAAGGTCTGAAATCCGTGCGAATGTATTTATGATGAATTTCTTAAAGGTAGAAGTTAATAGGTTGACAATTTAATAAAAATAAAATTTATTAAACAATCCTATATGAAAAGGCACTATAGATTCATTCAAATACTCTCATTCTGATAAACAAAAATCATATTGATTCTTGATTGTTGTTATTCAAAAACCAAACATTGTTCTTTCAAACCAACATATTATTTTTTAGCATCTAACACACCAACCACTTTGCTCGATGAATGCCGTTCATTGACTGTTTTTTTCGGACATTCCCAACCCAAAACGAAAAAAGGAACCCGAATGAAATCAAAATGGGAATGAAACCAGAGCGAAAGGGAGCGACTGTACGGGAGAGGATTTTGAAGAAGAGAAAGTGGGAATGCTTTTTGGTATCTATTCGCTTTACTGTGCATCGATATGTATGAATGCAAAGCGTAGTGTGGGGGTATTGAATGGTATACAAAGTACCGCACATAAGGGAGTGGTGAAATTGAATTCATACTGCTGCTGCCGTTCGCTAGAAAAAAGGAACGATCAGATGCCCTGATCCAAATCATTGGAAATATCAGTCGAAATGTTTCTTATTACATTCTTCTTCTTCTTCTTCTTCTTCTTCTTCTTCTTCTTCTTCTTCTTCATCTTCTTCTTCATCATCATCTTCTTCTTCATCATCTTCTTCTTTTTCTTCTGGAATATTGCATATCGCATATTAGCTTATTGCGTGCTCTCAACTTAGTGTTCTAGTTCTAGATGCACTTCCACAGTTATTAATTGAGCGCTTCCGATGCCTGTACCATTTATGCATTAGTATAATTACAATCATACTCTATGCCCAGGGAATTCGAGAAATTTTCCAACCCGAGAATTCCTAGACCGGACCGGGAATCGAACCCAGCCACCTCCAGCAAGGTCTTGCTTTTTTCCTTTGGTTTGTTTTTCCGTCGATCTTGTTTTCCGTGCTGAGCACCAATGCTACCGACGTGCCAGGAAGGCAGCTCCTACACCTGGACCCTACCTATCGACCCATCAACTCATGAACCGGGGATCGACGGCTTTACTTCCCATCCGAAGGAAGGCGTGATCAGAGATGTTATGCCTCAGAAAATCCCGGCGGCGCCGACTGGTATTGAACCCAGGCCTGCTGGGGTGAGAGGTAATCACGCTTACCACTACACCACCGGCGCCGTTGATGGTCTTGCTTTGTAGCTGCTCCTTTACCGACTGAGCTAAGGGAGGCCTTATTGCTTATTTCCCCATCTTTCGA